TCTAGGTCTAGAATTTCGAGTCTGGTGGCATAAGGTATTCTGCAATGGGTAGAGGAGTGGAGAACTCTTCTTGTGAAATATTTCTGGACTTTCTCAACTGAATTAATAATTTTGACCTTCCCCAAAGTCTGGAGGCTTCCCTTGGGCCTCTGGGAGGGCAAAAATGGCCTTCCCTGGGCTCCGAAAGCCAGAAACAGGCCCATTTTGGGACTTCCAGAACTTTCAGGTTCAGCCCATTTTTCACCCTCCCAGAGCCTCCATGCAGACCCTATACTTACCGGCATCCAAAATGGGCCACATGGAGACTCCTAAAAGAGGCAGGCAGGGCCAGCCAGTTGGTTCAACTACCGGTTCGCCGGACCGGATGTAAATTTAACATCCGGTTCACCTGAATTGGCTGAATCCCACCCCTGTTGCAGTTGATTCATTAGTAACCCGGTTGTTAAGTTGGAACTAGTTTTCCCTGTTGACTTTGCTTGTCAGAAGGAGATCATGTGACCCCTGGGATGTTGCAACTGTCATAAGTTTGAGGCAGTTGCCAACCATCTGAATTTTGATCACATAATCATGGGGATGCTGCAAAGGTTGTCACTGTGAAAAACGGTCATAAGTCAGTGCCGCTGGTGAGGATAATATGAGGCTCCAGCCAAGAACAGGGAATTGAGTGAGATGATGTTTGGTCCCGTTTTATGACTTTTGTCGCCACATCCATTAAACGAATCACTGCAGTTTGTATATTAGTCACCCGGTCGTTAAGTGAATCTGGCTTCTCCGTTGATTTTGCTCATCAGAAGGTGACAGAAAGGTGATTGCAGCATGACTCCAGGATGCTGGGACTGTCGTAAATGTAAATCGGTTGTCAAAGCATCCGAACGGAAATCACGTGGCCAAGGGGAACACTGCAATGGTCATAAGGGTGAAAAATTGTCACCAGTCACTTTTGTAACTTCAGAAACGGTCACTAAATGAACTGTTGTATGTCGGGGACCACCTATACAGGTTTCACTAAAGCTGAAATCCTAACCCTGTGATTATTTTTTTGTCTTCAGGGTTGGAAAACGTAGTGAAATCAGTTGCACAGATCCCAATTTAGGTCTTACATTTGGAATAAATAGGCAAAGATCGGTTAATCAAGGCATTTCACTACATGTATTGTATCTTTAAGGAGGCCTGTTACTTGTAACTCTTACACTGACTGGCAGTTAAAGTCAGGAGGCCTCTTGGTATCACATTTTGGGATTAGCAAATGCTATTATAATTCATAAGCCTCTGAGAATGGCCATTGACTGCATCTGATGCATAGAATGGAGAAACTGACATAAAATTGTGGGGTCCTTGGTGCTCTCTGAGCTGGGTGGTTTTCTTGCAGACGTTTCATGACCCAGCTAGGTAACATCCTCAGTACTAAAGGGAGTGTGGTTTGCAGAGAGAATAAAGACTATGGGGTGCTTGGTGCTCTCTGAACTGGGTGATTTTCTTGCCGATGTTTCATGACCCAGCTAGGAAACATCCTCAGTGCTAGAAGAGAGTGGGATTTGGAGGGAGGAGGAAGAGGAAGAAGACGACGACTGTGGGATCCTTAGTGCTTTCTGAACTTGGTTGTTTTCTTGCAGACATTTCATGACTTAATCAGGGAACATCTTCAGTGCTAGAAGGGAGTGGTATTTGGAGGGAGGAGAAGAAGGGGGAAGGAGAGGAGGGGGGAGGAGGAGGAGGAGGACTAGGAATATCTGTTTCCATCAGGGGTGGGCTCCTGCCGGTTCGGACTGGTTCTAGCAAACCAGTAGTTCCGACAATCATTTGGCCCTACCTCCCCATCCTATCCTGTCCTATATTTCCATGTTTTTCCAGCTCAGCTGATTCATGTGGCACAGTGGTTTGCTGTGCCTCAGCTGCTTTACTCACCGGTGGTGCTCTAGAACAGGGGTCCCCAACGACCGGGCCATGGACCGGGACCGGTCCGTGGAACATTTCCTACCGGGCCGCCGGTTTGCTGGGTGCCGCCATCTTGTTTGACAAGAAAGTGCTTCCGGGTGAGCTTTTCCAGTTGGAAAGCGGCGTTTGGATCCTGAAGGAATCCTCGCGCCTTAGTTTCATCGAAGGGGGGGCGCTTCGAATGAAACTAAGGCGCGAGGATTCTTTCAGCACCCAAGGCAAGGCGAGCCGAGTGACCGTCCTGAAGCCGTCCCGAAGCGAAGCCCATCAACAAAGGTACAAAGGAGGAGTTGAAGGTGGCGGGGAGAAGCGGGAGACGGCTGGCTGGCCGGTTGCTCGGCTCACCTTGCCTTGTCATGCATGCTGATGCCAGTACCGCGCCGCGGATCATTTTGTGATGCCGGTACCGGGCCGTGGCACAAAAAAGGTTGGGGCCACTGCTCTAGAAGGTAAGCTTTAGAGGCTAAAATTGGTGGGTTTCAAATGCTGTGCGCACCCACAGAACCGGTTGTTAAACCGGTTCCATCCCATCCCTGCCTTTCCTCCTTCCAAGTGGGTAAAATGAGGACCCGGATGGTTGGGAGCAAGAGGCAGACTCTGTAAAAAAAAACCTCTTAGAGGGGGATGTAAAGCATTCTAAAGCGGTATATAAGTCTAAGTGCTATTGCTATCCTGAAGTAAACTTGCATAGCAGACTGTAGTACAGGAGTCTCCATCCCCCTCCCCACAGTCCGTGCACCAGCACTGGGCCGTGGCATGCTGCACAAAAAAGCAAAGCCCCATCCATGGGATTCAGGCAGCACACGAAACCACGCCTTCTCCACTCTGCAGAAAAACCTCTCTCCACGGAACCGGTCCATGGTGCCCCAAAGCTTGAGGGCCACTGCTCTAGAACTTTTTGTGGCCATGGACCATGGCCACGGACCCCCAAGACTCAAGATTTAAATCATAACATTTCTTCAAGCCTTCGCGGAACCCCTGTGATAACATCGTGCCCCCGCCAAGAACTACAGATGGAGGACCACTGTTTTAGGATATCTTCTATTTTCCCCGTTTTGCAAAATTGTCTCAGAAGTTTGGGCTGGTTGTGGCGGCACCCACACTCCAGGTGGAAAAAATATCTGAGCTCATCATAGCTGAATATTTTGTCTGCCGCTTTCTGTTATTTGTGTTAAAAGATCTAATGCAAGGGTCTTCAAACTTGGCAAGTTTAAGACTCGTGGACTTCAGCTCCCAGAATTCCTGAGCTAACATGACTGGAGGAGGAATTCTGGGAGTTGAAGTCCATAAGTCTTAAAGCTGTCGAGTTTGAAGACCCCTGACCTAATGCTACTGTTCTACATTGTGGTTTGCTCTTATAGCAGAACAACCTGCTCCCTCAGCAACTGTTGTTTTCTATCCCAGTTATATTTTGACAGAGTAGAAACCTGCCAATCCTTGTAGTCTTGGCTGTCGTACTGGGTTTCCAAGAATTGGACAAAAGCATGGTTGAATTTTTTTAAAGTCAAAGTGGATTTTCGAATTTGCAAAATTATGTTACTAGCTGGATACCATGCTTTCGACAAAATTTTGTGATCAGGCTATGCAGAAGAAATTCAGTTCACAATCCAGTGGCTCAGTGGTGGTTGGTGAACTCATAAGGGAATATTGCTCCCGCTGCCTTGAGTTTGGAAGCAGTTCCATAGGTGGAACGCGTAAGACATTTTGGTGAGGTACAGATGTTTAGTACTATAAGGAGTCCCAGGTCGCTCCTGAGTGAGGGAATGGAACGTCTGACAGTTTGAACTGAGGTAACGGAATGTGAGGCAACTGGGAGTTGGAACAGAGTTCTTTTCAGGTGGGGAGGGGGGAGTAGAACTCCTTAGCATCAGAGCGTGTTAATTGTTGTATTAAGAAATGCTAATGCTCTGATGGTCATTTTGAAAAATCCTTTCTTAGCGAGCACCTAGAACCCAAGAGAAACATATGTGCCAAATTTCAAATTTGTAGGCTTTAAGGTTCTGAAGATTTAATGATGAGTGAGTGGTACTTGGCTTTTATATAGAGAGAGAGATTAAAATCAAATTCTTGAATGACTTGCTTCCAGAAATTGTGAGTGCTTCAATGCTGGAAGTTTTTAAGAAATGATCAGACAACAATTTTATCTGAAATGGTATAATTTCCCGCCTGAGCAGGGAGCTGGACTAGAAGACGTCCAAGGTTCTTTCTAACTCTGTTATTCTGTTAAATTTGCCCAGAGAATGTTCTTTCAGAAGGTATTTCTATAGATAAATTCACCCATGGTGTGCTTAACAGGATTGACATATATTCAACCGATTGTGGCTGTTCGACTGCTTTATCACAATATGGCTTTAGCGCGTTGCTAGTCGAAACATTATTTCTTGTTTAACATTGTTGGATTTTTCCAGGAATCACAGACTGGATTGTCCAAAAAGTTCCAAATAGGAATGTGCAGTTCTGTCCAGGGGGACGGTTAGAGACAGTTCAAGGTCTAATTCCAAAGAACATTTAAGAGACTTACAAATGAAGAGTCTGAAGGGAGAAACCAAACTGATTTTCAGGATCCAATCTGGGTCAGTCACCAGGACCAGAGGTTCCGTCTTCTGAGCTTTTGGACTCATGTTGGAGCCCATCTTCAGGGAATTCCTCTCTAGCAGAGTGTGTGTCTTGGGCTATTCGATGGTACTGTGTTTTCCCGAAAATAAGACCCTGTCTTATAATTTTTTGCCACCAAAAAAAGGCACCAGGTCTTATTTTCAGGGGACATCATCCACTGACTAACCTCATTTGCCCGTGTCACCCCCAGCCTCCTTTTTGCTGTCAGAGGCCTTCAAGAACTTCTTCTTCTGTGGCTGGCAAGGCTTTTCTGAAGGCCTCTGCAGCCCACCACTGAATTGGGGGCTCAATTGTGGTAATAAGTTGACCACTACCTGTATAGGAATCTTAAATTTGTTGCAGGTCAGTAATCATGAGGTGAGTCAGTGGATGGCATCCCCCAAATATAAGACCTATCGGTTCCTTAGTGGCATCTGATTGATGGGATTCCTTCTCTTTTCTTTCTTCAGGTATCTCCAGACTTTGATGATTAGGCCATAATGACAGCTGAAGATTCTACTGCAAGGATGAATAATGATTCCTCCAGCATGCAAACCAATAAAATCCCCGAAGGGCTCTCGGGCGCGCCAAACGAGGCCGCACTACTGCAGTTATTAGACCGCACCGGCTACACCATGATTCAGGAGAACGGGCAACGAAAGTATGGAGGTCCACCTCCTGGCTGGGAAGGCTTACACCCTCCTCGGGGCTGCGAGGTCTTTGTGGGCAAAATTCCTCGGGATGTCTATGAGGACGAGCTGGTCCCCGTGTTTGAGACCGCAGGACGGATCTATGAAATGCGGCTGATGATGGATTTTGATGGTAAGAACCGTGGCTACGCCTTTGTGATGTATACACAGAAATATGAAGCCAAGCGTGCGGTCAAAGAACTCAACAACTACGAGATCCGTCCAGGAAGACTGTTAGGAGTATGTTGCAGCGTGGACAATTGCCGGCTCTTCATCGGTGGGATCCCCAAGACAAAGAAGCGAGAGGAGATTTTGGAAGAGATCTCCAAGGTGACGGAAGGGGTGCTGGACGTCATCGTCTACGCCAGCGCGGCCGATAAGATGAAGAACCGCGGCTTTGCTTTTGTGGAGTATGAAAGCCACCGAGCGGCTGCCATGGCAAGAAGGAAGCTCATGCCTGGCCGAATCCAGCTGTGGGGGCACCAGATCGCCGTTGATTGGGCCGAGCCAGAGATCGACGTGGACGAAGATGTCATGGAGACGGTGAAAATCTTGTATGTGAGGAATTTGATGATTGAGACCACGGAGGAGACCATTAAGAAGGTCTTTGGCCAGTTTAATCCTGGCAGCATAGAACGGGTGAAGAAAATCCGAGATTACGCTTTCGTGCATTTTACCAGCCGGGAAGATGCGGTTCACGCCATGAATAACCTCAACGGCACTGAACTGGAAGGATCATGTCTGGAGGTCACGTTGGCCAAGCCAGTAGATAAAGAGCAATATACCAGATACCAAAAAGCTGCCAAAGGAGGAGCAGGAGCAGGAGCAACCGCAGCCGAAGTGACTCAACAACCTAACTATGTTTACTCTTGCGACCCGTACACTCTTGCCTATTACGGGTATCCGTACAACGGCCTGATTGGTCCAAATCGAGAGTACTTTGTGAAAGGTGAGTATATAAATTTTGGCACAGTTCAGGAGGGATTAGAGTTATCTTGTCGGAGGGGGTGTCGAAAGCTGAATAGAGTTGGGACTTTGAATAGGAAAGCTTGAATGGAAAGTTGAGGGGGGACTTTCTGGGGGGAAAATGGCATCCTACTCTAATTAGAATAGAATAGAACACGAGCTGGAAGGGGCCTTTGGAGGTCTTGTAGTCTAGCCCTCTGCTCAAGCAGGATACCCTATACCAGTGGTGGCTAACCTTTTTGGGTTCCTGTACCAAAAATTGTGCGCGCATGCCAGTACCCAGAAGGCAGTGCATGCTCAATTCCCCCGCCCCCTTACCTGCACTGCGCCTCCCAGCTGATTTTCAGCTGATTTGAAGTCTTTTTCGGCCTTCCAGGCTTGAGGAAAGCCTCTGCAGCCTGAAAAATAGGCCCGTTTCATCACTTCCGGTATTTCCAGAAATACAGGAAGTGATGAAACCGGCCTATTTTTCAGGCTGCAGAGGCTTTCCTCAAGCCTGGGAGGCCGAAAAAGGCCTCAAACCAGCTGAAAATCAGCTGAAAGGCGCACGCATGTGCAGTGAGGTAAGTTTGCCTGCGGCTCACATGCAGGCACAAATGGCTCTACGTGTCACGTGTGGCATGCGTGCTATAGGTTCACCATAGTGGTGGGTTTCAAATTATTTTACTACTGGTTCTGTGGGCGTGGCTTGGTGGGCGTGGCAGGGGAAGGATACTGTAAAATCTCCAGACAGCGGTGGGATTTGCCGGTTCTCCGAGCTACTCAAAATTTCCGCTACCGGTTCTCCAGAACTGGTCAGAACCTGCTGAATACCCACCTCTGGTTCCACTGGTTTATTGTCCTCACTGTTAGAAAGTTTCTCCTTCATTCCAGGTTGTTTCTCTCCTTGATGAGTTTCCATCCATTGTTTCTTGTCCTGCCCTGTACAGACAAATTGTACGGACTAATTGTATATTAATTGTACACATAATTGTATCGACCCTAATCGTATAGAGATCCTAATTGTATAGATTCTTATTGTATAGAGATCCTAATGGTATAGGGTCTGCTGCTTGAGCACGGGGTTAGACTAGAAGACCTCGGTGACCCCTTCCAGCTCTATTCTGATTGATATTGATTCGTACCCCTCTCTGTAGCCAAGGAACATACTTATTTGGGAGTGTCCATGAAGTCATCAAGCCTGGAGCTTGGCTAGAGGACATTTTTTGTCTTTTAGTCTGGCTGGGTGACAGCATCTTGCCAGGTTTCAGGATTAGCCCTTGGATGGGAGACCACAAGGAGATCCCAAGGCTATAAGCTAGACTGGGAGAAAAGAACCTGGAGGGATGGGTTATTAAAACACTCCTGTACTATTGCCAGGAAAATCCTGCGAATGTGTTCATGAAGCCACTGAGAGCTGAGGGGATTATTTTTATTGTATTTATTTTATGACCGAGGCCCGTGTTTCTTAAGTGGCTTCCCTCATTTTAATGCTTTCCAGATGTGTTGGGCATACAGTCCCTAGAATTCTTAAACCTCGCGGCCAAGAGTTTTGTCTCAGATCGGGGAAGGTTGATCTTTGACCTTGTTTAAGTTGTGTACAACATTTTTTTAAAAAGAAAAAAGAAATGGAAATGCTTTGTACTAAAATATTTCAACGTCTCAGCTCCAGCATAGTTCAGTTCTGACAGAAAAGCAAACACACAACATGAATGGCGGGTGGGGGGGAGAGGTTTTAATTGTCATCACCTCACATACTGAATTTGGAATTATAGACTTTCAACCATTCATTTCCTGACCGTTGGAGTTACAACCACACTGAAAAAAATTGACTTTTTCCTATGTTTCTGTTCTGACCCAAACCCTTTTCCAATAAAACAAACATGAACCAAAGAGAACAGAAACCTTTTAATGATTCTTACAAATCCCCGGTTAAAAGGCTGCTGCAAATTAATTAACTTTGATAAGCACAAGCCTCGCCAAAACTGTGCGAGGCTGCCAAGAATAAGATTACCTAGAGATATTTCACAACACAAGAGTCTTCAAAAACCAACTTAAGGTACTGCAATGTCCACGAGGCTCGAGTTTCAGAACGTCTTTGCTTCCTGCAAAGAACGTCCGATTCACAGCTGGCTTTTATCTTGCAGCCTTACTCCCGAGTCGCCCATGCTGCTGCAGCTGCTCTTTCCTCTGAGCAATCCTGCATGCACGCGCACTTGGCACAGGCTCCTCAGGAACCTCCTTATTGCTGCTGCCAGCCCCCACAATCTCTGAAGGCAGCAGTCCACTCCCTAATGGTCTTGGACCCACATCTGAGACCTCGCTCTCCTCAGCCGCCCACACCTGCTGCTGGCTAACGACAACACTTTCACATTTACGACCATTGCCCCATCCCTCTGGTCATGTCCGAATTCACAGATGCTTGGCCACTGATTTGTATTTATGTCGGTGGCGATGTACATACCATGTGATTCACTTTTGCAACTTTCTGACCAGCAAATCCACGGGGGAAAGCAGGTTTACTTAACAACCGTATGACCAATTTAACAACTACAGTGATTTGCTTAACAAACATGTCAAGAAAGGTCGTAAAATGAAGCAAAACTCACTCCGCAATTGTCCTGTTTAGCAGCAGAGATTTGGGGCTTCATTGTAGTCGTAAGTTGAGGATTACCTGTATATTTTGATGGAGTTAAATGCTACATCACGGTAAGAAAGTTCTTTCTGGTTCTTGAAAGATTCCAGAGGTGATCCAGAGGCAGTCTTTGCATCAGATAAAAATAAATAAATTCAGGGATGGAAGGAATTTTCAAAAGTCTATTCACAGGCCCTTAGGAGCAAGAAAACTAGCATGGCTGCCCGGGGAATTCTGGGAAGTGGAAATCCACTGGTCTTAAAGTGGCCAAGGTTGGACATCCCGATGTACAGTATGGGGAACCTTGACTTATGACCACAATTGAGCCCAAAATTTCTGTTGCTAAGCGAGAAAGTGTTAAGTCTCTTGCCACAGATGGACACAGGCCCCTCCAGCAGTTGAATCAGAGGAGGAAAAGGAGGTGTGGGAGTCAGGTTCAGACCCAGGACAACCTGAGAGCTCTGAGGAGGAAGAGGGAATGGAGCTGACAGAGAGAGACAGAGACAGAGGCGGAGCCTGAGCTGTCTGTCAGCCCTCAGGTGGAGAGTCAACAGCTGCCAGGTCTGGAGGTGGCGGAAGAGGAAGAGGAGGAACAGTTAGGTCCAGTGCCTGACACACGGATGCACAGAAGGCAGAGGAGAGGAGAGCAATGGAAATCTATGGGCCGGTCCTTGGGACGGAAGAGCTACTGCTGCTAGCAAAGCCTCACCCTAGCTCTGGGGATAAAAGGCAGGGGGGCGGAGATGAATAGATGTGGCAGAAGGTCGCAAAAGGGGATCACATGACCCTGGGACACTGCGGCCGTCGTAACTGTGAGTCAGTTGTCAAGCATCTGAATTTTGATCATGTGACCCTGGGGAAATGCTGCAACAGTTGTAAGTGTAAAAAAGGGTCATAAGTCACTTCTTTCGGGGGCCATTGGAACTTGGCACAGGCACTTAAGTGAACTGGTGTAAGTCAAGGACTACCTGTATTGCTGAAAAGCAAATGGGAACTCTTTCTGGATTTCTTTTTTCCAGAAGTAGGCTTATATTTAATTCTACTATCTCTTAATGAAGTCCATTTTATAAGAGGTGACAATTTTGTTATCTCAAAAGATAGGAAAACATTTAACCAGTTGCCAGAATAGAATAGAATAGAATAGAATAGAATAGAATAGAATAGAATAGATTAGATTAGATTAGATTAGAATAGAACAGAACAGAACAGAACAGAATAGAATAGAATATCAGAATATAGAATAGAATAAGAATAGAGTAGAATAAGAATAGAATAGAATATCAGAATATAGAATAGAATAGAATATCAGAATATATAATAGAATAATATCAGAATAAAGAATAGAATAGGATAGGGTAGGATAGAATTAGGATAGGATAGGATAGGATAGGATAGGATAGGATAGGATAGAATTAGGATAGGTAGGATAGGATAGGGTAGGATAGGATAGGATAGGATAGGATAATAGAGTTGGAAGGGTACTTGGAGGTCTTCTAGTCCAACCCCCTGAAAAACAATCCGAATATCTTTAAGAAAAAAGGAGGAAATAATGACTAAGTGAAATGCAGCAGCGGAATATTACAGAAATAACTCAGCTTAAATTTTAAAGAACAAATTTTACCTCAGCTGCAGTACGTTGATCATACTGTATTATTTAGTCTTTCCATTTCTTGATTAAAAAGTCAGTTCAGTGGCCATCAAGCAACCTTTGATATCTGCTCCAGGAAAATTAACAAATCTCTTTTTTTTTCTTTTCCCTTTTTTGTGCAAACAATATCCAAAGTTCATAAACAGATTGACAATTTGAGGTCAATGATTTAACCACACATGAATATCTTTATGTCCCAACTGCCCTAGGACATGTCTCTTCCATTTGCTTTCATTCTATTGTACTTGAGCTGATATTTAAAAGTGCCATCAAGAAAAGCGGAGGAATACAAAAGGAACAATAAAGAAATAGAGATTTTAAACTTTGTACAAAATTGAAGAAGAATTTGCAAGTCGCCTTTGAAATCACATATACAAATAGATGGATGATAGATAGATGATATATGACTTTGAAGAATTAAGATCCCACCCACTCCAGATTGGACGGGTAAAAATTAAGCTAGGTTGGGAATGGGGGTGGGTGGAGCTGCCCTACGACATGCGCAAGTGAGGTTAGTCCATGGATGACATCTACCCCGCAAATATGACCTGGTGCCTTTGTTGGTAGCAAAAAATATATATAAGACAGGGCCTTATTTTGGGGAAAACACGGTAGCATAGTTTCAAAGCAATTATGAAAAGAAGGTGAAAAACTCAACAGTTTGTCCAAATTTTTTTAAAAATAAATCAAAATTCAGAAAAATCTATCGAGGCTTATTTAT